GGGGAGGGTGGATGACCTGAATTGGGACCTCTGGATTACAAGACCATTGCTCTAAACCACTCAACCAGGCTGCCTTCTTTAATGCTGTTCAGTTATCTTTCTAAGTCTTTGACCAGTCCACAACTTGTCCTGTGCATATCCGTGCACTGCAGAGAAAAGCAAGGCTGTATCATTGTGCAATGACAGTCGTTTGTCAGGGATGTTGATCGTGGAGTGTTGTGCCCCTTTTGTGCCAAATGTTGTGTTGCATTTGTTTTGTTTACAGCCATAATGACTAGAGGAACTGACATGTTAAGGAAATTTAACAAGAGTGGTTATTGTTTCTTTTGCTTTTGTTTCTGTCCTCAAAACTTCACCATTAGCATAAGTTGAACTGCATTCTTTATTATCATTATAATTTTTTGGAAGTTGAACTTTAATTTTTCTGTGCAGTTTAATGGTTTTGCAAGGGATAAAAGATTTCTTAGAAGACAGGAATTTCAGCTCTCAAATTTGGCCGTTTTGTTTGTGAGGCCTTACGTTTAGAATTTTGTCAAAATAGAAGGACTTCTGGAAGAATAAACTAACCATGTTTTCTATATATATTCATCAGATCACCAGTTTGGAAGCAGACATTACCAGAAGGGATTTTAGGGACATAAATTCATCTCCTGAACCTGTCAAGGAAGAAGAACCACAGTCATTGTTTGATTCATTCAAAGAAACAGTCACAGAGTCGCTGAGAGATGACGATGAACCACAGGGAGCTTATGCTGCAGAAAGAAGCAACTCACCACATCAATCTGACATTGAAGACATACCACTTGAGGACACTATACAAGAAAAGGTTGCTGATGTTCTTGGAGATCATGGTGTTACACTAGGAGGGCTTGTTGATGACAAAGAAGATAAGTCATATGAGGAGAGACGAAACAGTTCAGCTGATGGTATGTAAAGTAGAGGCTTGAATCTACATGTAAGCCGTTTATATTTGATATGAATTATGCCTTGTCAGTATGTACATGTAGGGTGTTCTGAGCGCTATGAATATGGTGCTACAGTGTTGTCACTGGTCCACAACCTTGGTGTTTTTTTTAAAGGACAATCAGTGAATTCCAGGGAAGGGGCATAGAGAGTAAAACCGTAAGTTTCATCCAAGAAAGGTAACAAAGAATATCCCCATGTGATGCACTGGGCTTGAAAACAACTCACAGCTGTATTGTACAGGAAGCATAAACATTACTAGTAAATAAGCGATAAAAATGTGTAGTGGATTAGTAGATATCATATATGAAAGGAGCATAGAAGGTGGTGACAACTTACGGTTTCACTCATTTAACAGTGCAGCCATCTGTGTATGAAGCTAGTGGTGAGAACAAAGAAGACGCGACAGAAATCCAAGATGACAAAGGTGAGTTGAATTAAGTGTTGTGCTCTTGTTTAAGGCATGTAAACATGTCTGTAGAGAAAACAATACAAAAATAAATCTCTAGTCCTCAGCAGAAGTAATTACTGAAGTGCACAAATAACATGCACATTACAATGTATAAATTATGGACAACAATCAGTATTCAATGTTTAACTCAGGGGCTTCATTGACATTTTCAACACGAGGGCAACTGGTTTTTCAGCCAGGCAGAACTATTTGAACTTCTATCATAAGAAAAACGTTCCTCTAGATGCCGTTCTTTTGATAAAAATATGGCACCATATCAATGGATATTATTTGCTGTGGAAGCTGATAGGCAAAGCACACTTTAACATTCTTGTTGATATCTGTTAAAGAAACTGAAGAGGACAAACCTATTGATCAAATGCCAGCTGAAGAGGTGGCGGATGAAGAAATTGAAGCTGAAGGCAACGAAAACAGAGACAATGCTGAGGAAGAGGTTGACAACAATGAAGCCGAAGACAATGAAAACAGAGCGAATGCTGACGAGGAGGTTAACAACAATGAAGGTGAAGAAGTACAAGAAGAAGAAATTGAGGAGAATAAGGAAGCTAAAGGAGAAGACAGTGAGCAGGTAGGTCTTAATATTGTGTTGAAATTATGGGTTTGTTGTTATTTATGCACGACGCCATAAGCTACTGAGCTTTAACTTTAATCATGCTTCATTGTGTCTGTCTGTCTGTTTTGATAAAGTGAATACATGTTAGCCAACTCAAATGTCAAACATGAAGCTTCCATTTTACATATCAATGCTAGATTTTATGCATATTCCTCTCACCATGGAAAGAACAACGCCTTTATTGTAGACTAATTTGTAAGTTGTGGTAAATTTACAATGGAAAGTAAGGTAGTGAAGGATGTCGTCCGCGCTGTGTTGTACGGACATATAAACGGGGCCAGAGACTTCGTCCGATAACATTTTTACACTTTCACTTCAATATTCGACTATGGTGTGTATTCGCTGCAATTGTAACGGTACAAAGGTTAAATATCGGTACTGAAAGGTAGTGCTAAATCTACGAAACCAAATACTTAGACAAGTACAAATATTCAATGTATTTTCGATCAATTTGGCAATGAAAATTGCACAGTCCGAACTACAGTTCAGTTTATATAGTCGCCTTGGCCGGCCGTCGTTTTTCGCGCCAAGCTAACGGGTCGTAAGTACTGATGGGAGCTTGCACAGAGGTTGCAAGGGAGCATACATAAAATTTACTCAGGGAACCCTAGAAAAATGTAACAATAATGAAGGTGAATTGTTATGAGAGAAAAGTTGACAAACAAAGTTGAATGAAATAGTGATAGGTTTACCTTTTCTAAGAGAAGTCAGTGGAGGATGAAAGACGTTACTAAGGATAGGGTAGAGAAGGGTCCGTAGGGAGTTTGTAAAGAGGGAGGGGAGGGTGATGTAGTGTAGTACAGAATAGTTAGCATAGGCTATTAGTTCAGTTTTAACGACACAAGTTAAATGTGATAGGTAACTCAGAAAGAAGGTACATTTGTCAAGTCGGAGTCCTCGTTTCAGAAGTTAAAGCGTCGTATAAAAGGTGCGTCTTACAACAAATTCTTTATTCAGTGTTAACAGCCGTTCAGTTGCGTTCTCACTACAGTGTATTAAATGTTAAATTGATAGATAATTCAGTATAGTACAGATTAGTTAGTAGAGCTAAGGTATTTGGAAACGTTTGAGCTGCAAATGATTTTTGAAATTTTTTTCGCCACGCGCCTCATAAGAGCCTGGTCAATGCGGCAAAGGTTTTGGGAATTTTCTCTTCATACTTCTACTAATGAAAATTTAAACAACAGACGAGCTAATGGTATGTTGTGTAGTGGATTCATCACGTCCTATTTCTGTTTGTTTGGTTTTCAGGATCACCCCGAAGTAAGTGAGCCACCTGAAGACAACGAAACAAACGAACCCCTCGATACAAACGAAGCCGATGAACCACTCGATACAAACGAAGCCAATGAACCACTCGATACAAACGAAGCCAATGAACCACTCGATACAACTGACCCACCTGAGGCAAATGAGCCACAAGAATCCGTACAGTGAAAATAATATATATTTGTTTAGATTATTCAGTAGTTTTAAGAAGTCAAGCCAGGGTTCCCGCCACAAGCAGAGACATCCTATGCGCTAGACATTCTTCGCCAGTTTTCCTCTGTTTGTATGTCAACCTGTGAATTCCGAAAATCATACGGAAAGTGACCAACTTTCCATACTTTTTCTCTGAGGTCAATAACATTAAAGTCGCAAATCTTGTCTCGCATAATTTGCAGTTACTTAACAGTCTTGATGTCAGCCAATCAAATGATCAAGTTTGGTTCCAGTGATTTTCCCCGTCCTCAACAGATGGCGTGTGGCATTTTTCGCACTACTTTTGATCGATGAAGGTTTGTGGTATGACCGTATCTCTGAATGTACTAGACAAAGGCTGAACTTGTTTCGTCTTGTACATGTATGTCCAACTCTCTATTCGTTTCTCTAAGCCATTACGAATAAATGGAGATAAATTCCTACTGGGTAGTAAACTAAATGTACTAAACAAAGGCTGAACTTGTTTCGTCTTGTACATGTATGTTCCATTCTCTGTTCGTTTCTCTAAGCCATTGCGAATAAATGGAGATAAATTCCTACTGGGTAGTAAACTGGTGTCAAACCCAAAACTATTTCTACAGAACCTGCCACTCACCCTTTCTTTGAAACAGCGATTAAGAAGGAAGTCCTTTGTGAAAGGGGGGAGTTTATTTCCGTCAGTCTTTTGGCAAATCGCTTTGAGCATAAAATATGCATTTCATGTTGATCTTATCTTAAAACGTCGCTAAATTGACTTTTAAATTTGCTGTAGCATTCGAATGCCATTTACTGCGTTGACTTGGGCTTTGGGGCATTTCTTCAGAGAATTAGCTTACTGTGTAAATATGCTGTAAATAAACAACCGTGTTAATAAGCATCATAGTGGGTATATCCATGTATTTTACCAATCATTTATACATCGCGTGACGTACATACATCGTAAATATAACATCGATATTGTGAACGTAATAAAGTGGTTATTATCAAGAAGTATACCTCTACTCGTCCACTCATGCAAATGCTGCAACCTGATTGGCTGAGCTACTGTACATGCGCAGTACGCGTGTACACAGCTGCAAGCTTCAAATGACAAATTCGCTAGAGATAACGCTAAATCGTGAAGTTTAACACTACTCATATATAAACAAAAAACTGGAGGACTTTTAGTTAGAATTCTACTAGAACAATGAGATTATTCGTTCTCGATTTCCATGAGCTGATAAGTTGAAACGGCCTTCGGCCTCATCAGTTATCACCAAGTAGAAATCTCGAGATCATTGTTTAATTGTTGGCACAATACGTCTTGAGTGAATGCTATAAGTGCAGCAAGCCACAAATTGCCAGCCTCATATTCGACTTCCATTTACAAAATTAGGATAAACTTGAAAAAAGTCAGGACAACGTTCTCAAAGTTTACCCAAATACAATCCGTTTTATTATCTTCTCTAACGTTCCCCATCCATACAGTGGGCCGGGTCGTTCAAAGCCTGATTAAGCTAACCCAGGATAAACGAGATTTTTGATTTCAGTTTTGTATTTTTTCGGTGAGGTTTTCTGCGGTTTATATTGTTTATCCTTCAGTTTTAAGCTTGAGTAATCTCAAACTACACAAAACAAGAAGTGAAAAACATTCATACAAGAAAAATTACTTCGATTACCTCTTAATCCTGGGTTAGCGTTAACCGGCTTTCTAACAAACCGGCCCTGTTTGGCGTTCCTACGTTTCTTTTGATTTCTTACACAGTTTTTCAAATTGACTTATTCGTCAGCTCTGAAATAGCCTAAAATTCAGTGACTTAACCCCTTTAACTGGAAGTCACCCCATCAAGCGTATAACTAATTTTGTTTTTGGTAAGAGATGGAAGGTGGAGAGGAATTTCAAACACCTGCTACGCTTTGTGATTGTTAAAAAAAGCAGCGCTTTTTTGAAACGTATGAAACGTGACAGTGTCTAAAAAGGTGTGCTTTTGCGGTTTTCTATAAAAAATGTAATTGCAGAGAAAGCGATTTTAGGAAACGTGATCCCGCTTGA